TACTTCTCAGCTGGCAAAGGCGTGGAGCCAAGAAAACCTCATCCATGCCATGTAATAAGAAAACCAGGCCAGGGCTCTTCACTGGGGTGGGCTCATGGTGTCACCAGGGCTGTCCCACCAGGGCTCAGTGCTCAACGATGCCCCATCTCCTCAGCTGTGAGTTCTGCCTTCTCCTTCAATGTAAGAAAGGAATGTGAGGTCCTTGTGTAATTCTATTAATTAATCTCCTGCATCAGCTCTTTTTTTCCATTGAGTCATACTAGAGGAATGCAGAAGCGATGCGAAAAGGTGATCACTTCCAGGCAGCTGGTGTTCTTGAAAAGACAACGTGGGGACAGTCTGACAACTTATTCATAAGAAATAATCATCTTTAGTAAGCCCTGGTCAAGGGTTTGTACCTGCCAATGTGCATCTGTGTTTGGGAAATGATCTGCTCAGAGCCTCCCTCCAGGAACACGAGCCCTCAGTGCAGGCATCAGACCGAGCTCCATCTCCTTCAGAAGTGATCAGCCCCGTTCTTCTGTGGCATGACCAGATCTGATTAGGAGCACCTGGAGCACTGCTTCAGCGCCTCTGACACCATTTGTCTCTGAATACACAGCACCGAGCTGCTTCCATTAGCTGCTGTTTGTGGCAGGAGACAAGTGCACGTGTTTTCACATTGGGCTTGTAGCAGGAACTTACACATACAAGTCATGTAAGAGATGCAAGAAGACCATTTCTACTTAAAACTGACAGGCAGAAATGAATTATGCACATACTTCAATTCAGGTAATTACAGACATGAAAATGCAGATCTTTTTGTGTAGGAAACACTAGTTATATGCCACCTTTTTGTTACTGAATTTGTCAGTTTTACATTTTTGCTGTGATCTTAGCGATTAAAAAAAATTGCTAGCGAACAACTCACCCGTCCCCTTACTACAACAGCTGAGCAAGATATGTCTCGTGTGCCAGACAAGCTCCAAATAACAGCCATGGGGCAGCCGGCTCAGCCTTCAGGCAGGAACCACCTCGGGCTCGTCTGGTTTGGGTCAACACAACTCTTCCCAGGTCTGCCCTTGGCTCTTAGGGCCTCTTTATTCTGAATAAATCAGAATGAAAACGTGCACCGATGTAAACAGGGAACAATCCAGTCCAAGTCCACCAGACTTTTAAAATGCTCAGAGATTCGTATATGTTTGCATGCTTTTTTTTTTTTTTTTTTTTTTTTTTTTCTCCAGATGCAGCCTTGTGATTTCAAATTATAATAAGGTGACCCGATCTTAATTGAACTAACCTTTATAGATCAGTTGATAGGCTTAAATATTTGCTTATATTAGCAGAGAGAAGGTAACCAAAGTCTTTTGCATAGTTACAATTGCCAAGGAAACCACTCTGCTGGTATCCACGTTGGGCATTTCATCTGCTCCTGTGTGTGGCTGTTGGAAACCTGTCTGATTATAAGAAAAATGCTTCCAGTCTGACTAGATGTCTAGTCAATGGCTGCGTAATTTTCGATCAGTTCATCCATGAGCTGCTGCTGTTCTGCTAAAGTTTGTGGAGTCACAAGCTGTCATTTCTAAAAAAGGTACACAGGCAAATGTGGAATGGGACCCTTGATGGGAAACTGTGAATTAAATTTGTCTGTATTCAGAGTGTTTTCCAGGCATCTCATAGTTTTTCCGAAACAACCTTTTAACTATGTGATTTATTTTAGTCTTTATTTTAAACTAGGTCCGTCTTTAAGGATTTCTGCTGCTTGAAACACGCAACCAAATCAAACACATTCTAACAAAGACTAATTGGACTCTGTTTAAAAATAAGTGTTTTGCCTGGAAAAGCAGTTTTCTGAAACTGAGCAACGTGCTTAAATGAGTAGTGACACACAGCTCTACACAATTCCTAACTCAGAAGTTCTCTGGGGATTACACATGCACTTTAATAAAGATATATCAAAATTAAGCACTAATCTAAGAGGCAGCCTCATTCTCAGTGCTTGTTTTGGGACCAGCCTGTCCCTTTTCAGGCGAGGGTGATGGACAGAGCCTGGACCGTGGGCACATACTGATGGACGTGCTCTGATTTCTGTGCTCTTCACAGACACCTCGATTTTCACTCCTCTATCTCCACGTGTGCTAATGAGTTGTGCTTTGAATCAACTTCTGATCTGTGTTTTTTAATCCAGCTCGGAGCAGGCTGTCTGTGGGGCTTTGTGCTGGAGAGCCAGTATAATTATTGCAGGGAGGTTTTCGGAAAGCTGTGCTCGCAGCAGAGATAGCATCTCCATTCCTCTCTCGGTGCTAATCAGTTTATGTGAGCCTGCCTTATGCACAGCTTTCTGACCATGCCAAATTCTTCCGAAACAAACACTTCATCCATGGTTATCAGACAGCAACATGCCTGAGAAATTACATTACACTCAGCAAAAAGCCTCCGAAAGCACGGATTTGCCACCTCTTTCCCTCAGAGAGCTGGACAATAGCGGATTTTTGTTATTGTTCATTTTTCTTCTGTCATAAGATCTATCTTTTATTTTTCCCTTCTATATCCTGGACAATTTCAAATCCTTTTCCGTAGGCCACACAATAATAGCTTATTTTTCAGTTTAAAATGAAATATGACTAAAGTCTCCAGTCCGCAGGCTGCCTGCCCCAAACCTCCTTGTTTTCCTCTTATTTTTATTTTCCCTATTTTAACACAATTCAGATAGTAGCCATAGAAGCCTAATCTGCATGTTCAGAAACTGGAGAAAAATACCTGGCAGGTGCTGGCCTGGCACCATGGCCTGCCAGCACCCAGGCTCTATTTGCAGAGAACAGTAGCTCTCTTATCCCAAGAATGAAATTAAAAAAAAATATATATAATAAAAATAAAATAATAATCATAAAAAAGAAATGTAAAAATTACTTTTAAGAAATCTTTCTATATAATTTAGAGGAGAAATGCACTTTTCTTCCCAGTGGAGGGATAGGGAAGGTTACTGAGCAGGACTGTGTTCTTCATCACCCAGTCGTCACGGGGCAGGCGTTGTTTCCAGGCTGGAGATACCGACCTTAGTGCCCCAAGGCAGCAGTGACCCCCCTCCCAGGCAGCAGTGACCCCCCTCCCACACGTGGGCTGCCGGAGCCATCGGTCACTTGCTCTTTTTCCAGCAAATGCAGGATGCAGGGTGGGTCTGGGCATCTCACAAGAGGAGAAAAAAGAATTAAAGGAGGTTGTTTTTGCTGTAAAGCTGCTGTGTAACACTGCCACGTGCTGCATCTGGACACAGCCAGGGTGGACGTCGTGGGAGCCCCCTTTGTACAGTCCCTTGGGGATGTGCTGGCTCTGCTGAAGTCCTGCAGAATGACATCTTCCCAAAGCATTGAGGCAGATGTGCTGCTTGGGCCTGCCCCTGAGGTCTGCAGCCCTACCCACGGCTGCAGTGGCGATCAGCGATGCATTTAGCCCAAATCGTGCTATGAGTTGGGACTGTCCTGCACCAAGCTTTGAAAGCACCACACCTCCTCTGTCCCCTTGCCCCACCCAGGGAGCAGAGGTGGGACCCAGAGGTGGTTATCACCTTACAAGGATGTGCTGATGTGAACATATTGGCGTAAAAGACACTGCATGCACTCTCCTAGATCTTGACTTTCTCACGAGCAATTAGAACTCCACATGACAACCTGTTGGGCAAAGAGTTCAGCTCTTAAGCTTTTCTATGGCTGAGGTCCAGAGCGATTCCAACCTGGCCAAGCACTTAGGAGGAGAAACACAATTACAACGGCGTGGCAGGAGCCCTGTCCCTTTGGTAAGGGAAAGGTCCTTTTTCCTACACCACTGTCCGAAACTGCAAGACCCTTTGCAGATGAAGGAAAAGGCTGTGCCGTTCTCAGAAACAGTCCATTTATTTATTCCTACCTAAACTGCTAGAGACCAACTAAATAATGCTATGCTGCGGACAGGGGCAGAATATATCTTGCTCTCAAGGGTTTGCATTAGTGGCCACCAGGCTCATGAAGAATGGCAGCATTGCCCGAAATGGTAGGATGGTATTTTCAAAAGCATCAAGGAGGCTGATGACAAATTTCCCTAGCACTCCGGTATGTAAATGCCTTAAGCTCCCTCTGTAGTGTTTGCCCCGATGCAAATGGTCTTTAAATAAGTGCTGCAAAGTCTGCGGTAGCGAGGAGCCGAAAGCTGTGTGCGCTGCACAGATGCAATGTATCCTTCACAGAGCAAACTACGGATCTCCGTCTCACAAACAAACAGGTTCCATCTGTTCCCTCAAATTAATGATTGCTAATTAGGCAAAATACATTATTTCTTTCATGGAAATCCAGCAGTGATTCTGAAAATGCAAAAGGACCTGTAGGAAGCTGCGTTTGCATGAGCCTCTCAGGCAGTGGCAGAGGACAGCTCACTGCTTGTCAGATAGCCAGGTGCCATCCGACAGATCCACCAAGGAGGCTGCTGAACCTGCTCCTTTTGTAGCAGAGCCCCGAGTTGCCTTACATTTGCAAAATGAGGTCTTGAGCTGAGGAATGAAGTGCATCACGAAGAATAAAAGATGGGAGCAATTTAAGAATTCGTGCTGATGGCCAATTGACTCGTGCTCTCAATCTAGCCATTCTGCAAGCAGAAGGAGTCGAGATGTGGATGGAGGCAGATAATAAGTGAGAAGCTGTATGTGCCCACTCCGTTACAGCTCTTGGGACTGTGTGCTGAAGTCTGACCCCAGGTGTGTGCAGTACCCAGCCCCCTGCACCCCAAGGGGCAGCACGACCCCAGCTGGCAGCTCGGTGAGCAGCCTGGTCTGTTCTGCTGGAAATGGCTGGTTATACCACATTTAGTCTGCTGAGAAACACTTTAAAGAGTTCGCAAGGCACATGCCTCGAACCCCACAGAAAGCCTCCCGGTCCCCTTGCTGTTATTAATAACAGCACTCATCACAATTTACATATGCGGCTGGAAGCCTTGGAAGGGCTCCTTTAAACATCCCCTTGCATAAATAGGGGCGATTCCAGCCCACCAGTTTCTTGGTTCTGCTTCAGGAGGACGAGTTGGGTGCCGGAGTCACAGCAGCAGCAGGCTCCAGGGGTACAGGTGGGTGCTGGGGCACTCTGGGGACAGGTGGTGGTGTTTTAGGGGGACGAGGGCACTCCCCGTGAGCTAACTACCACAGGAAGGGGTTGGGGTTGTTGTAGGGACCTGGTCTCCTACAGCATCACTCAATGCAGTTGGTACTTTACACTTTTCCCTTTCTAGCTTTTTCTGTTTTAAATTCACGTTTGGTTCCCTGGACACCTTTGCTCAGTTTTCCCATCTCCCGGAATTAAAGGTAAGATAATTCATCTCTCATTGCACCTGGTTAATTAGGTATCATTGGGCAGGCGATACTCTCTGCTTGTATTTTCTGCTCTTTTTTTAAGCACCTGAGGATGTGCAGTCCAGGGACTGCTGATTTGGGGTTGGGCAGTAAAACCTAATCCCTTCTGAATCACGTATTGTTATGGGTGACAAAGAGTTTATCGGAGCATTAGCTGCTTCTCTGGACTGTAACAGCAAGCCTGGTCTGCTGCTGGCTACAAGCAGTTCCCCTACAATTATTACTTAAAGCTGATGGCTGATATGAAAACTGTTCATCGTCAAAGCCGTCTCAGCACCATCAGGCTCCATTTTTCGATCTCAGCATGCATGTAGAAATTGTACTTATCTAGGATAAATATTCATGCCAAATTCCTATTGAAATATAGAGAATAAAATTTATCACTCATTAGATAAATGGAGCCCAGAAAATATAATGAATGCTGTAGTCATTTTCAATGCAAAATCCATATACATTATCCTGCCATCCCCCAAATTGCTCTTTGGGTCAAAGAGACACTGCAGAAATATCAGTGAAATAAATTGCTGAGCCTAGTAATTAAAATATCACATACTGGCAATTCGTGCTTACCCCTGTTCCTTACATCATTGCATGAAATTTGGCAGAATTTTCAGGACTCTCCAAAGTTTCTGGTTGGTGATGGAGGCGTGCAGGTCCCAGCGTGGTCGTGTTGGTGCTGCAGGAAGCTGTCTGCACCACCAGAATTGGGTTTTGTGGATTCACAGTGGGTGAACACCAAAGTCCTGGAGAAACACGAGAAGGTTTAATCACATTCAGAAGCTTTCCCTTCTCCTTGCCCACCCAGGTCATGAGGATGTGTTTTTGTTCATGTGGCTGCATGTGCACGTAGTCTGCAGCAGTGCAAATGTTCTGTGCAGTAAGTTCTGTAGGTCAGTAAGTCCACTAGAGGAAAAAAAAAAAAAAAAATATATATATATTTTACCCTAATCCCCCCACAGTCCCTTTCCTGCTTGACATCCCTACTGTCAAAGATTTGGGCACATTTTGTGTACTTCCATCTTGTTTCCTGAGGTCACCAGCGGCAGTGCAAGAGTAGAGCTGGCCAGGCTGAACTGGAGGGGAGGATTTGCAGGTGGGAAGCTGTTACCAGCGTGCTGGGCCATTTATCTCGGTCCTACATGCAACAGCCTATTTTAAATACGGATTTAATAGAGCCGATAGTGGTATGGCTGGGGAGAGAACACCGAATTCAATTTGCAGTGTCAGTTCTGGTGACAGGTTCATCTGTAATGGTGTGAATTAGTTGCAGCAGCTTTACCTGTGGCCATTTTGCATACGTTGTCTGCCTGTTCTAGATCTTTTAGCCAGCTCTTGTTTCCTAAATGCAGGCCTGTTTTTTCTTATCTCACAAAACTGCAAAACTTGGTGTCATTTGAATATGCTTTTACCTTCCTGAATCTTGTCCTCCTGTCCCATCCCAGAGGGCCAACTGCTAGTGCATTTCCTGGCCTTCACCCTGCCAGAAAATGACTCCTCATTGCCTCCAGCCTGCCCTGGTTTGCCTTCATTCAGCCCCTTCCCACCCTCTTGTGCCCTTCAGGACAGCTCTGTACAAGGACCCGGGGCCATGCCATAGGCAGCCCTCTCTCTGGGAGGAATTTTTCCAGGATTGCTGCTCTTTGGAAGAGTGCCTGGTACATGAGTATGGCTATCCATCACCTTTGGAGCCACTCAAATGTTTCTCTTCCAACTGCACATACCCCACTTCCCTGGGACATACTTTGCTACTTGCCTTTTGGATGTTTCCATTTTCCCACTTTGGATTTCCACCCCAAAAAAATTATCGTCCCACGGAGCTGGGGCCTTCACAACGCAAATGAGGGCAGCTGCACCCAGATGGCTGAACAAACGATGACTTCAATTAACTCTGCCTCCAGCACATCGACAGAGGTGCTTTGTGCTGTACTCCTATCAAGAGGTTATAGCAATGCAGTATGTCTCTTTTACAGTCTCATTAAGTCATAGCTGTGCTGGATTAAAGTCTCCATCTTATCAATCATTTTTCTAAACTGTACTAGAAGTGAACAAAATCTGAACTGGAAGGCAAGTGTAGCACGACACTAATTATGGGCCAAACTTTGTGTTGCGTTTTAGCTTTTCCAAAAGCAATGCATGATACACTTGGTGATTAGATTTTTTTCTCTTAGATTTGGAAGGAACAAACTGCAATTTTTTTCTGAAATAAAATAGTTATACCGCAGAGATCTTGTTAAGTATGTCACAGTTCAAAGATGGGAGATATAGTGGTGTATTATCCTTCTTTTGCAGCTGCAATACTGAATTGCATCTCTGGAGAAGCAGGGATGTATCAGGTGTGGGTTGATCTCTGTGCTCAAATATTACCTTTGGAAAGTGTTTTGTTTACAGAAGCCAGCATGCCACAGTGCTTGGGAACAGCCCCAGCAATGCCATTACACTTAATGCTGTGCTCCAAGCTGAGGTAGCAGGGATGTAACCGGACTCGTGTGAGGCAGCACGGGGATATCTGCAGGAGAGCACGGCTGGCCAGAGGTTTGTCTTTGCCTTCCCCAGAAGGAAGATGGAGATGGGCAGGAGCTGGAGGTAGGAGAGAGGACAGCGTGGCTGCTGCCCTAAAGCTGGACAGAAACCCCTCACGGGCACCTGGGCCATGTGTCTGAATTCCTCTGGGATCTGTCTGAGGACAGTCAGCTGAGGGGAAATGGAGTGCAGTCCTCAATTTCCTTTCCAGCACAAACTGTAGGACTGCTGTTGGGATTGTTTGCACGTACCCCACTGTAAAAAATGACCCTGACCTCTAGTCAGCTGCATAAAAGCCTATCTTAAATAAGGAAACCGTGTATTTATTGTAAGAATTGAAGTCGCTGTGGTAAAAGAAGGAGAAAAGGCATGCATTATTAAGTGCAGCAAAGCTTTTTTTTTTTAAAGTGTTTTCTTAAAAGCAAGAATACTATCTATGGTATTGTTACTAGATTACTAGATAGGAGCAACATAGCTGTTAGTCACAGGGGGCAAAGGCAGGAGCATTAAACAAATTTGTTCTGAAAATAAGCAATGAACTAACTAAGGGCTCTTAAAGTTGCCTGAACGAGCTCTAGCCTACCTGGAGAGCCCCAGAGGTATAGAACTAAATTTCGCATCCATCCATCCAAGGCATGGTAGGGGAATGGCAAAACTTTCAACCCATGAATTACAAAAGGCCAGTACAGCTGCTGCTGGTCTATATGGCTTTCTACAAGATAGAAATTATCAGCCACACTTTACCCTTGATACAATGTGCATTTTGTTGTTGTTTAACATGGAAAATTTATTTAAGGATAAAGAAAGCAGGCTATACCTACAGGCTCTTAAACTGTCTGCAGAACCCCAGTTCTGACAGGGCTTCTACGTCATGGCAATTTAATCAGCAGAAGGTAAGACATCGGGACCAAAGGAACAAATAAGCATTTGTTCTTTTTTTTTGTTCAAAATACACCCATGCACTTTTTAAACAGAGGAATACAGATTTATGTGTCAGTGAGGTTGTGTTGTCTCTGTGTTCACTTTAGTGAGGCTGCTACTGGAACACTGTGTTCAGCTCTAGCATCCCGAATTTAAGAAGATGATGCTAATGATTTGGCAAAGATTCAAATAAGCGCTATGAACACAGTTACACTATGAAAATGTCTTCCGGTTAATTGCAAGAAAGTCCAAGGCTCAGAGCTTGCAAGTCTCATTCATAAAATGGGAATTGGTAATGCAGAGCCTGCCACTGTGGAAAAAAATGTAAGAAAGAAATCTGAGTGACATGAGATATATTCAGACAAAAACTGTAATTTCTGAACACCAAGGATAACTAGCCATTGGAACTGTTGTGCTGAATGTCCATAGATAGGAAAAAAATTAAACTCAATACTTAATATTTTTCTAGACATGATCTAATTAAAAAATCCAGAAGCATGGATTATGGATTGGTATCTTCTGGAGAAGACAAAGAACCGTATTTTGTTTGAAATAGGTAAAATTTGTCACTGCTTCCTTCTGCTCCCCAAGCAATCCTTGCGTGGGTAACTTCTCCAAGGTATTGGTAGCGGAGGCAACTCTTCAGGAGATTGATGGCCATGGGGGATATTACAAGCACAAATGAACTCTTCTGATTAAGTGAGGGACCCACTGAGCGCTTTGCTTCGGGGCTTCGTTCTTCAGCGAGGTGGCAGGAAACAAACAGGAGCATCCAGTTGTCTGTGCCCAGGTATGTCCTAAAAGGGGGTTTGCAGCTATAGGATGAGGGAGTGGTTTTCTTCCTAGCGCCACCCTTTATGAACTGGGAAGGTCCCTGGGCTGAGTGCAGGGTTGCTGGGGTACAGGGCGTGAGTGGCTCATTGACTCCGGAGTTGTTTCGGTCATGGCACTCAGGAGCTGAAGCTGTGCCAAGTGCCTCGCCAGGCCTCACACTTCCTCTCCCTTCCACAGGCGTTACAGCACAAGCTCAGAATATTTTCCCCAAAGCCTGCTTTTAATTAATGTATGCAGTTTTGTTGTCTGTCCAGGATATGGCAAATGTTAGGTGTCATTAGCTAATACCTGCTGTGCTCCATTTCCCGACGATGCTGTATTTTTTTCTAAAGCAATTCATTTCTCGCTTTGAGAATATCCTGTGGACATGCTTTGTTCAAATTCAAGATGTTATTTGTGTGCAAAAATGGTCACGGTGTACCATTTGAAAAGGAGCTAATGTGATAGCAAACAAATGGAGTGTGTAAAAAACAAAATTACTTAAGATGCTGTGTGATTTCCTCTTCTCTAATACAGCATGAAAATGCCAAGGAGATTTGTGCCCAGTGGAAATCAGCAGGCTGGAATTAGGCAATATTTACTGACAGGGATTAATCCTCATACAGGTGGTGTGGAGTGAGGCTGGTTAGGCTGTGGGGCAAATGAAATTTCCCTGCAAACGAACCAGTGTCAGCCCAGTCCTAACCAGGCAGGGAAGGGGGTGTTTAGCGAATGACAACATTGCATAAACTCATCTGGTAGGAGGAGTGCCAACTAATGTCAGCAATCCTTTTCCATCTCGAACACATACTTTTTGGTACGTAGACTTTATATTTGGCAAAGGGGAAAGGAGATGTAGGCGTCATTAATAATGAAGAGATTTTAATGAAAGTTTGAATGGATTTGTGAGCCACTGAACGTGTATTCAGAGCACTTTGAGTGGCAGTTCCATTACACACACAAATGCCCTAATTGGCAATCGGATCTGAGAGCACTGCGCTTGCTGTCAAGCAGCCACCAGCCTTCTGGGGAGATGTGGCTGATGCTGGCGGAGTGAATTAAAGAAAACTGCTTCTTCCTCCACGTCCTGAGATTGCTGGTTATAATTCAGTTTGTTCTCTTTGTTTGAAAACCTTTGAGTAGTTCTTACGTGCAGTTAATATTTACAGCGTGACGGGCATTTCTCATTCCTGTAGCTTCAGCAGTGCACAGCAGCAAACGGAGTGGTGGAGTTTCCTAAGGCAGCAAGGGAGAGGAGCAGGTCCAGCTCGTTGTGAATGCAGCAGCATCCTGTAGGGAATATATTCTTAAGTTAAGAGTAAAAGTCACAGGTAAAAGAGTTTTTATATCTTCCCAACAGAGACTGTTCCACAGCCTGATATCTCCCATGCTCAAAAGTTTCCTGCAAGCCAGAGAAATAACTCTATTCCATTTGGCCTCCTCCAGCATAGCCTTTTTTTTTTTTTCCTGTTTGTTTGTATTCGTAGAGCTGAGCTCCAAAGCATTTTCTATCAGCTTATCCTTTAGAGTTGTATCGCAAATTCTGCATTCTTGTTTCCAGTTCTTTGTTGAAGATTGCATTTATTTATTTATTAACATGAGGTGGGGATAATATGCTTTAACTCTTGGTTAGCCCTGAAGAGGTCAGGCAGTTGAACTGGATGATCTTTGAAAGTACTTTCCAACAGGGCTGTTCTGTTCCATTTTATTCCATTCTGTTCCATAGTTGAAAAATGAGAAGAAAAGGAAAAAATCATTTGTTACCTGGAGGAACTTGAGAAAAGGAAATTTTTTCCTTATATCTGGTCTGAACCTCCCCTGGAGCAGCTTTGTGCTGTTCCCTCACATCCTGCCAACTGTTACCAGGGAGAAGAGACCGGCACCTCTCTTTTATCACCTTTGTTGCCCTCCTCTGGATGCTTTCAAGGACCTTACCATCCTTTTGATATTGTGGAGCCCAGAACCACACACAGTACTCAAGGTGAGGCCACAGCAGTGCTGAATATAGCGGCCAGCCGGCTGTGCCATGTTTAATGCACCCCAAAATGCAGTTTGCCCTCCTGGCTGCCCTCATGGTGCTGCCTCACGTGGAGCTGCTGCTGACGTGGATGTCCCGGCTGCCAGCACTGATGGTCGTGTACCCAAGCAGAGCCGGGGCTGCCAGCTGTTATTTATTGCACGGTATGTCCACAAACGAGGCACACAGCAACACTGAGCTTTTCTGTGCGTGTACATTTTCCTTTTGCATTTCCTACATTGTAAAATAATTCCTGAGGCTGTTTTAGGCACTGCGGGCCAGCCCTCGTGCTCCTGGCACAGGGCAGAAGCCAGACCCCGCTGGGAGCCGGGCAGTGGCTCCATAGCAGCGCTGCTCCTGCATGGCCCTGCTGGCGTTCCGAAATGGAGGCAAGCAGGGGGAAAATCCTAACCTGATTGTGCAGGAATAAAGGACATAAAAGTGATAGATTGCTTTGTGTATTTTTCATATCATGTGCTCGTGACACTTTTTTTCCATGTGCTAAAAATACCTTCTGTAGCTGCGGAATGGGTCCCCAGCTGCTAGTGGCCAAGTTGATGGATACGCTTGGTCCCGAGCAGTCCGGGCTTCCTTTGGTTTCCTTCTTCAGTGACAGCATCTGGTCTTCAGCTACAAGCAATTTTTGGCATTAAATAAAGGCGTCCCATAAAAAAATCCAACGCCCCACAAGGGTGGGTGAATTGTGTGGCCCCCAAGGTCTGGGCTTAGATTTGGTGAAGGAGGAAAAGAGAAGATGGTGCTGTAAAACTTTGCATTTCAATGTATGTGTGTGTATTTTCCCACCCAAGCAGGTGCCTCTCACTCTCCCATGAACACCCACTCCTTTTGGGAAGCCTGCTGATTTCCCCGACTTTGGCAGTACCCTGAATTGACAGATTCACCAGGCTCTTTTTTAATGTCACAAAAACTTTTCCTTTTTATCAAGTTTCAGGTTTTTGCCCCTCAGTGTCCGTGGTGCTTTTCCCTTGCATTTCGTACACTTTCTGCTGCTGGCTGGCTTCTCTCTTTCTTCTTTTTTCAAAGAAACCTGCATCACCGTTCCAGTAATAGGAAGTAACGGTGCAGAGGAGACTGGGAGCAGCAGAATCGTCTGAATTGTCTGAAAAAAAGCTGGCTGCCAGCCACCGGGCACACATGAAAGTATGATGTGCGATAGCTATCACTTTTTAATGGTGAGCTAACAGAAAATTAGATTTTTGGACAGCAAGTTTAAACCTTAATTATGGAGAGGACACTGCTGTTTTATAATATAAAAGAATTGAAAGACTTGATGTCCCTCGGGGCTCCTTTCGCTACACCAGTCAGACAGCCCGAGTCATGGTCTGCTGAAATCAATGGCAACGGCAGAAGCCGTTCACGCACACAAACAGTGATGGGAGGAAGGAGAGAAGAGCATTGGTAATGATTCATTCTTTAATGGTAATTAATATGGGCTCAAACCCAGCTAGGGCTGTGTGTTCAAAGGGGTTGCCTACCCCAATACGAGCCTGAATATTTTTAGGAAACCCTTCCTCTAAGGGTCCTAGCTCCAGCCAGGAGCAAGTACTCTGCCTGTCACTTACAGTGAGGATTTTTTTATTTTTTTTTAACTGCAAATAAACAGTGGGACTTGTTTTCCTTATTAAAGCTAAATTGCCTTTAGAATCAATGTGCATTTTGCCTGAATACAAACCCATAATGACGCCCTGTACTTGCATATATCTTAACTGCTAAATGCACCTTTTCTGCCTACTTCAGACATGGTTTGATTATTATTACGACTAAGATGTGGGAAGCATACAATTAAAATTGTATAGCCATCGAGACAAATTTAGCCCGAGTACACTCAAAGGGTTATCTAAAAGCAGCTGCAGTTGCTGGAGCGTTTTTAATAAGTGTATCTCATTTAAAATATTGAACAAAACACTTCAGTGCCTGTTTGGGAAGTGGCTAAGATACCTCTTGATTTTTGTTCTGGAAGATTAGCGCATGTTTTGAGCTGAAAGGGGGCAATCTTTTATCTCGTGTTTCCCAGGCTGCGTTCCCAGCTAACTGGAAGGAAGGAGGAGACCAGATGTGGGACGGGAGAGAAATCAGGTGGAACCTGGCAGGCTGCTGGCAGCATGCAAGGGGGTTTTTAGGGGTATTTAAGGGGTATTTACACAGAAAAGGGGCTCTGGCTCCTGGCTGATGCTCCACAGGCAGGTAGAGAAGTGAGATTTGAGCTAATAATGCATTTTAGGCCACTACATTAGTAGCTGATGTAGTTTAGCTGAGGCTGCCCCAGTCCTGGCAGTGTCCCTGGGGTGACCTGGGAGAGGTTCCTGCCCACAGCACCGAGGGGTTGCAAATTATGCCCGGGGAGGGAATTACTCCAGCTGCTGTGCTCTGGTGGGGGCTGTATGGATTTTTGGGCCTCGTTATCTCTGAAACAGCGGCTGGGAGGCTGTGGTGAGGTCCTGGTGTGAGTCCTGCTGAGAGGTACTGCTGCAAAAACCCGTCCATGCCACAACCACCGAGCATCGCGAGGGCTGGCATTTTCAGACAATCCCGAGATTTGGAAGAACTCTTGTCTAACAGTAACAACAGAGAGCTGTTCAGGTCTGCCAGGTGATTCCTAAGTGGAATCATCACCTATGCTTGCCCCTCAGGTGAGCAGGCTGGTGGCTGTGCACACACCAAACACCTCTCCTTGCACGAGCAGAGGCCACCTGCACCCACGCCTTGTGGCACGAGCCAAAGCTGATGGCAGGGCTGGTGCTGCTGCTTCTTCCCCGTGCTGTCCTCTCCCTGCCTGCCCGAGTGGATTGTAAATATCCCAAACCTCCTCCTGGTCTCTGAGCACCAAAGTCCCCACGGTGCAGACAGAGAGTGCAGCCTGAGCGATGCCAGTGGGACTGGAAGCATGCGAGCACCTCGGCAGCACGGAGCAGGAAAACCCTTTCCCCAGCCTGTCTAAATTGAGGTCTCTTTGTCGAGCTTAAAAACAAGCCTCAAGCACATTGGGGGTAGGGGACCCTCACCTTGGATGGGGCCCTTAGATCAGAGGCAACCCCATCTTGGGCTGCTTTTGTGAACTCCGCCAATTTTCTTACAGAATTTACCATCTTTTCTTACCGGGAATTTACCATCTCACAGATTTACAGTGCTGGAAAAAACTGTGGCTCCTGGCTAAAGTTAATCAAAACACCTTCCACTTTAAGTGTTTGCCATAATTAATAGAGTACATACCGAATCTAGCCCTCAAACAAAGTTCAGATATGCCGTGCCCTCCTTGCAAGTCAGACTGCAGCAGCGGCCGTGCACTGCATTACCATGAAGTGACGCGAGTTAAAAAGTTTGAGATGTTTAGCAATAAAGCAGTGAGAGTGAGTGAAACATCTGTATTAGGAGTTTTCACTCTTATTGTGTTGTCTTTAAACACTGCATTATCTTCTGTTCCTGCAGCGTTAAGCAGTAAAGAAAGGAGGAGAGTTTTGGTTAAATTTCTCACTGATGTTTCAGTTGATAGATAGCTCAGTAACGTTTATTTTGATTTAATGACAAATTCCATAGCGTATTTGTTCCCGAGAGAACAGGCAGATCTGTTCTTTTTCTTTCCCTTAAATGAGTACACGGCTGAGATTTCTGCTCATCTGAGGGAATCATACTACATTGCGAAATTCTGTTTTGTCTCATTTTCTACCAAAAGTTTATTCACAGTCAAGAGGTCGTCTCAGGCTCCAGCTTTATTTCACACCCTTTTAAGCTCCGGTGCATGTTGTAAATGCTAAGTTTCACCTTAGTCTATCTAAGGGGAAACTTGTAATAGCATCTCCTAACGACACCCATAATAATTTGGTGGTTTGGCCATTTTCACACCAGCTCAGCAGCAAGTGAGGGAAAACCGAGCAGTCTGAAGTCCCCATAGCTCTTCCAGAAAACTTCCCGATTATTATCAGCATTGCAAACGGCGACAATTAATAGTCTTGCTCCAGGACTCGGGGTGTCAAGAGGGAGAGCTGGCTGATGGGGCTCGAGCCTTTCCGCACCCATCCCGCTGCTGCAGTCCCCAGCAAGCGTTTGTGCCGGTTCCTCTCCTCCCACAGCAAATGTGGCCACATTGATTTATCGCTGGCAACCAGTCCAAGCCCTCAGGGATATGATAAACAGCTATGCAAGCCTCTCATAGAAAGATGTTCTGTTATCCCTATAAAGGAAATGGATGAAGGAGAGAAAAAAAAAATTTATGAGAGCATAAATATCTCCCTCCCCCCGCTGTAGGACTGTAGGAAGTCACCTGTTGGCGACCCTGCGGGCGGGCAGCCGGGTGCACTCGCACTGCTCCCTGGAGGGGGGCACGGGGCCACGCACCGGGGGCGTCGCGGGGCAGCCCCGGGCGCGGCTGTAGGGCACTGTGGGGCGGCTGTAGGGCGGTGTGGGGCGGCCCCAAGCCAGGACGGACGGCGGTGCCCGGCCGGTGGCGCAGCCCCGCGGGTCGCCCCCGCCGCTTCCCCGCTCCCCGACCCCCTCCGGCGATCCGCGGCGAGGCGGAGGGAAGGCGCACGGCCGGGACCTGTTGCTCTCACGACCCCTTTTATTTCCGCACCCGCCCGACAACCGCTCCCCGGGGCCGCCCCCGCTTGCCCCCGGCTCCCCCGGCCCCGCAGCCGTCGGGGCGGGCGGTGGCGGGGCGGCGGCGCTCAGTAGGGCCCCACCACCACCGCCTCCGCCTCCTTGGACGGCCGCCGGTCCTTGACCAGAAAGTTGATCATGCCCTCGGACTTGATGAGCAGGTTGCAGCCGAGGAAGAAGATGCCGAAGACGACGGTGAGGGCGAGGACGCACATGACGGCGATCTGCACCACCCGCATGATGTACACGCTCCGCTCGTCGTCCCCCGCCGCCGCCGCCGCAGCCCCGCCGCCACCGCCGTCGGTGACCACGGAGGCGGCGGTGCAGCAGCGCAGCGCCCGCTCCAGCTCCAGCGCCGCGCTCCCGGCGCCCGCCAGCAGCCCCGCCGCCACCGTGCCGCCCGCCGCCGAGCCGTTCATCCCGCACGGCCGCCCCGCCGCCGCCGCCGCCGCATGCAGGCGAGCCGAGCCGAGCCGAGCCGGGGCGAGCAGAGCCGTGCCGAGCCCAGCCGGGGCGAACCAAGCCGTGCCAAGCCGTGCCGAGCCGCCCCGCTCCGCCCGCAGCTCCGCGCCGCGCCCCCCGCCCCGCCCCGCCGCCCCCGGTGGGCTCCCGGAGGGGGCTCGGGGGCAGGGGGTTGGGGGAGAGCAGCGAGGGGACGGGGAGAGGGGGAGCAAGGGTTTGGGGACAGGGATTGGGGAGAGAGGGGTCGGGGACGGGAGCTCTGCAGGTGGGTGGCGGGGCTGGGCTTAAGGCAAGCGCCGGGGGAGGATGTGTCGGGGGTGGGTTTGGGGAGGGGTTTGGGGTTGTTAAGGCTCGGGGTGTGGGGAGGGG